GTTTTGTATGACTTGGCACTACAAAAAATACTTACTTGGATCTGTGACATTTGGTTCAGCTAGAAAAATATTGCTCTTGACTTCATTTAATTATTGTTTGCATTATGTTCTACATTGTGTTATAGTCGTGTAGGAGAACCCCGGCACACCACCATCATTTGTAAAATCTCAGTAAATCAACTTGCTCTGTATCTTCGTGCATCTGTTCATAATGACATCATCCAGGGCAGTTCATGTAGCTCCACTGGCCAATTGCGACTGCTACATGCTTCGGCACCTCCACGCTCCAAACGGTGTCGGCACGCAATACTACCTCCGAGGAGTGTAGGAATAATGAATGCTAAAATTAAACATAACTCCTTATGTTTAAGTTAATTTCAGAATGGGGCACCACTGAAAATTTTTATGGTAAAACTTCAGAAAAACCTTTCTCTTAATAATCAGAACAGTCTCTAACAATGGAGGAATGAGATTCTTGGCAGTTTAACGATGCATAAACATAATAAAACACAGACAAAAAGCAATCACATTTGGAGATTCATCCGTATATTAAAATGAGGTTCAGAGGTAATTACAGACAGAAACACAACCTTAATTCACATTACTTCAGCCTATTGATGACGCAATGCTCATAAAATAACTTCTGTAACCAGCTTACTGTATATATTCCTTTGAACCACTAACACGCTAGCTAAGTTTCCATTCTAGCAAACAAAATAGGACCTGGTCAATTCTAATCAAAAGGGAACTAGTTTATGAGAAGGAGTGAGATAGACATAAACCTTTGATCTGATTTAGCCCACAAATCATGATCGCCAAACCCAGCCTTTGGTTTTGCACACAAGCAGACGGAGAGCAAACTCGCTTTTCCTACCGGATTTGAAGATATCCACTAGAGTAGTCTCATGGGTACTAGGCAGGTTTTTGGGCAAAGTCAGCAGCTTGTGGACGGCCYGACCTCTGAGTCCCTGAGATCCGCTCTGTTTTACCAGAGGGCATCTGTAGTAACGGCGCTTCCACTGCTCGGTCACAGGAGGGTCCGATCGTCCAAAATTGTGATAAAAATCAGCTTCAAGAGTCCATAGTCAACTTAACTCCCTCCCATAACTCAATCCAAAAAACAAAAACATGAAATACAGACAGAAATTGACCTCTCCCTGGGGAGGGGAGGGGTCAGCTTAACTTCCCTCTGCTACCTGCTTCTTCAGCTAAAACTTCCAGACTGAGCACACTGGGACAGAAGCAGAAGGTGGTTCTTAAAGAGACAGAGGCCAATTTCAAGGGTTAAGAAGAGGAAGTGATGAGAAGATAAGTTTATTTTCTATTTAAACATAAAACAGCATTTTAATAACAACTAAAAGTTGACAGATACTTTATTATGGTATAGTATTTAAATATGTGCCTGAGAAACACATAATATTGGCCCTTTAAGCAATAATGAACAACTTGACAACATTCCTCATTTTAATCCAGTGATAACTGCATGCTTTTTCACGTAAATGCTAGAATATTATGACTTTTTTCTCGTAATATGACTTTAATCTCGTATTATTACGATTTTATTCTCATAATATTATGACTTTAATCTCATAATGTTATGACTTTATTCTCATAATATTATGACTTTTATACGACTTTAATGTTGNCTTGACGATATACTCATTTTTTCCCATGACATCCAACAACACCAGTCTCATGTCAGAACAGTCCTCCAGAGACTTCAAGAAAATCAACTCTATGTAAAAGCTGAAAAATGCGAGTTTCATGTGTCCTCTGTGTCATTTTTGGGTTTCATTTTGGAAAAAGGGCAGTTCAGGACTGACCCCGAGAAAGTCCGAGCAGTTTCAGAGTGGCCAGTTCCTACTGATCGTAAACAGCTTCAACGTTTTCTTGGTTTTGCAAACTTTTACAGACGATTCATCAGAGATTACAGTCGAATCGCTGCTCCTCTCACACAACTCACCTCCACCCTGAGAACCTTCTCCTGGACTCCCGAGGCCAAYCAAGCTTTTGGTGAGTTAAAAACTCGTTTCTCTCAAGCCCCCATYTTGTGCCATCCCGACCCACAGAAGCAGTTCTTTGTGGAAGTGGATGCCTCTGACCTGGGAGTCGGTGCGGTCCTATCTCAAAAGTCCGAGCCAGATGGTAAGATGCACCCGTGTGCCTTTTTTTCCCGCCGTCTATCCCCAGCAGAGACTAACTATGATGTTGGAGACAGGGAACTGCTGGCCATTAAATTGGCTTTGGAAGAGTGGAGGCATTGGTTAGAAGGGACTGAVACTCCTTTTATCATTCTCACTGACCACAAGAATTTAGCTTACCTCCAGAAAGCCAAGAGGTTAAACCCGAGACAGGCCAGGTGGTCTTTGTTTTTTACTCGATTTAACTTCTCTATCACTTACATCCCCGGTTCCAAAAATATCAAGCCCGACGCTCTCTCCAGACAGTTCTCATCGACCGAAAGGACTGACAGAGACACCAACATCCTGCCTACCTCTTGTTTCGTGGGAACACTCTCCTGGGACATCGAGAACACCATCCACCTGGCTCAACAGACTGAACCTGATCCTGGTTCCGGACCTCCTGGTACCCGATTCATTCCACGACACATCGTGAGTAAAGTACTGGATTGGATACATAATCACAGATTCACTTGTCATCCCGGCATTTCTCGTATGTTGTCATTTTCAAAGAGATACTTCTGGTGGCCAACTATGTACTCAGACATAAAGGAGTTTGTTACAGCATGTCCCACTTGTGCTCGAAACAAGAGCAGTAACCAACAACCCGCTGRACTCTTGCTACCCTTACCCACTCCCGCTCGTCCTTGGTCCMAMATCGCTCTGGACTTCGTCACAGGATTACCTCCCTCAGAAGGTAACACAGWCATTCTAACCATTGTTGATCGTTTTTCCAAGGCAGTACATTTCGTCCCCCTGAGTAAACTACCCACGGCATTCGAGACCGCTCAGCTCCTGGTCACTCACGTTTTTCGCCTGCATGGTATTCCTACCGATATTGTTTCCGATCGTGGACCCCAGTTTGTCTCCCACGTCTGGAAAGCTTTTTGTAATGCCCTAGGAGCTAAGGTCAGTCTATCTTCTGGACATCATCCCCAAACTAACGGACAAACGGAAAGGTGCAACCAAGAACTCGAGGCGTCTCTCAGGTGCGTCATAAACAACAATCCTTCCTCATGGTGTAAATATCTTACCTGGGTCGAGTATGCACACAACTGCCATACTTCCTCCGCTACTGGCTACTCACCATTTGAAGCATCCCTTGGGTATAACCCCCCATTGTTTCCCAAGGATGAAGTCGAGAATATGGTTCCGTCCGTCCATCACCACATCCAACGCTGTCGGAGAATCTGGAGCCAGACTCRAAGAGCCCTTCTGCGTACAGCACATCAAAACAAGAGGTTTGCTGACCGCCATCGTTCCACCACTCCGTCATATCAGGTCGGACAAGAGGTATGGCTATCTACTCGTGACATAAGTCTTAAGGATTTCCCTAGAAAGCTCTCCCCCAGGTTCATCGGTCCCTTTCCAGTGGAGAAAATCATCAACACCACAGCTATCAGACTCCGTCTACTTACCAACATGAAGA